ATACAAAGCAGCAAATGCTAAATACCCAATGAAGACTTTGTACACTAACACAAGAGTTATCTGTTCAGCAACTCTCAAGTGTATATTTTTGTCAAATTGCACCAGCTTCCAGAAAAGAAACAAAATTCAAGAAAATTCTTACCCGTTAATTTAACTTTTCTCCATTTTTTGTAACATGCCAAATTAAGAATAAAAGCAAACACTACAGGGGCACCTGGGTGGCTCAGTAGGTTGAGTGCCCAACTCTTGGTTTTAGCTCAGGTCATGATCTCAGCGTTCATGAGATCGAGCCCCGTGTCAGGCTCTTCTGCACTGATGACACGGAACCTACTTGGGATTTTTCTCTCCCTCTATCTCTCTCTGCCTCTCCCCACCCCCCCCCCCCCAAATAAACGTTAAAAAAAAAAAAAAAAGCGAACACTACTGCAAAATTCAGAAACAACTGCTTATACTTGTTTTTAATTTACAGGTTTTTTTCAGAACACGTATTCACTTATTTATTTATTCAACAAATATGTACATAGTGTTACCAGCAAGACCCCAAACCTCAACCTTTACTGCTCACCTGCTTGCTCCTACCAACCTCTGTCCCACATTTTTCCTTAAGCTCTTCTTTCCAGCTTACCTCTTAACTCAGGCAAAAGACCGGAGGGGCATAGCATCATGTGATGGAAACTGAAACAACCCCTCAAGCAACAAGTGCCTGGATAGGAGTTCTGGTGGCCCAAACCACCCTGACCAGTTTGAGCTCACCTCCCGACTCATGCCAGTGCAGATGGACTACGGAGTAATCCAGGGAGTGACCGACAGTTACTTTTACCTCATTTGAATATGAAAATCTCCACCTAAACAGAAGCACAAGCCTCCTTTACATGATATACTATGTACATATAAGCATATTTCCTAAAGGAGCATGCATGGGCCTCTACACAGAGGTGACAAGTCACCCTTATCTAAATACTCATTGTAACTCTAAAACAAACAAACATTCACTCTTTCTCAGGGAGTCATGGCTTTGAAAGTTATTCCCTGTGATCTCCTTGTTTGCTGCAAATAAAGTTTCCTTTGTGCAACAACTCTACCCATTACTCACAGGAGGGAACTCATGTTTGTTCAGTTACAATAGCACCAACTTGTGCACTGTTCTAGGTTGGAGAGATAAAACACAGGACAAAACAAAGTCCTAACATTCATGGAGTGTACCTTCCAATGGCAAAACACACATAAGCTTACGATGTTTTTTATTGCATACACATAATATAGTCTTATCTCCTCTTCGTTATACTATTCTTAGTATAAGAATAATAGTCCAAAAAGAAAACCAAATCTTTAGTAGTCCTATACTCAAAATATTTAAGAATTCCAGGGCAGCTGGCTGGTCAGTCAGTGAAGCATGCAACTCCTGAACTTGGAATTTTGAGTTCAAGCCCATGTCAGCTGTAGAGACTACTTAAAATCTTTAGGGATGCCTGGGTGACTCAGTCAGTTGAGCATCCCGACCCTTGATTTCCACTCAGGTCATAATCTCATGGTCCGTGGGTTTGAGCTACACTGCACTGACATTGCAGAGCCTGCTTGGGATTCTCTTGTGTCCTCTCTCTGCCTCTTTCACTCTCTCTCTCTCCAACATAAACATAAACATAAACTAAACTAAACTAAACTAAACTAAACTAAAATAAAATCTTTGAAAAAGACTTCTTTTGAGAATTCTTGACCTAAGAAAAAAACTATCATTCTTTTCACTCATTCATTTTATTGAGTTCCTTGTGAAATATGAGACACAGTGGTAGAAATGACAAAATAATTCTGGAAATCAGTCACTTTATAAACAGGGAGAAAAAGAACATGCGCGTGCGCACACACACACCTAATAAGGAAAACATAAGCAGAATGCTATGTTGGAACTTAAAGGACAGAAGAATCACATTTCACACTGAGTTAAAGGGAACTGTCGAAAACTTCCTAAGGGAAGCAGCACTGGAGCCGAATAGGCTTTTATCAGAAGGAAAAGGGTAAGGGCAGCAATAAGCAAAAATACAGAGGATACATTTGGAGAATACAAGTTTAGTTTTTCGTTGAGACACAGGATACAAGGAACAGAGTAATGAAAAATAAAAGTGGAATAGTAATTCAACACAAAGCATAAAACACTTCTCATTTCAAACCAAAGAACCTGAAGAAATTTTAATTTGGTAGGCAACAGAAAGACATCAAAGGATTTGGTGTTAGGCAATCACATAATTTCTGTGAAGCGCTGTGGGCACACCCTAGAAAACAAAGACTTAAGAAAAGTGGTGGGTAGTAAGGTAGTAAAGACAAGGCCTTTCAATTACTCAAGAAATCTGGTGGAAAAGGAGAAAATCACTCTGGACTTTCTGACCAGGAGAGACTCAAACAGATTTGTAAATAGTAGCTAAGAGTCTTTAGAATGAAAAAGACTGAAGACACAAGAAAAAGATAAAACCATGGTATAAGATCCTAAAGAAGCTGGAAAGGAATGACATCAAGTCCACATTGTCTATCTCTTCCACTTCTGATCTTAAACTCTGAAGTGGATAGGCCATCGGGCCTTGATCTCAGTGTCCTGCAAGTTATAATTTAATGAGGTAAAAAAAACTAAACTAACAGGTTCCTAATTTTCAAAAAATATATATTTAATGGGAAATGAGAACGGAAAAGAAACAGCGTCAGCAATGTCAGTTCTCAGGAGAAGTTGCGGGGTGATGGTTAAGAATTAAGATGGATGGGGCGCCTGGGTGGCGCAGTCGGTTAAGCGTCCGACTTCAGCCAGGTCACGATCTCGCGGTCCGTGAGTTCGAGCCCCGCGTCAGGCTCTGGGCTGATGGCTCGGAGCCTGGAGCCTGTTTCCGATTCTGTGTCTCCCTCTCTCTCTGCCCCTCCCCCGTTCATGCTCTGTCTCTCTCAGTCCCAAAAATAAATAAACGTTGAAAAAAAATTAAAAAAAAAAAAAAAAAAAGAATTAAGATGGTATATGGGGCGCCTGGGTGGCTCAGTCGGTTAAGCGGCCCATTTCGGCTCAGGTCATGATCTCGCGGTCCGTGAGTTCGAGCCCCGCGTCGGGCTCTGTGCTGACAGCTCAGAGCCTGGGGCCTGTTTCGGATTCTGTGTCTCCCTCTCTCTGACCCTTCCCTGTTCATGCTCTGTCTCTCCCTGTCTCAAAAATAAATAAAACATTAAAAAAAAAAAAAAGAATTAAGATGGTATAGAGTTAAGCCAACTCTATATTTATACTTTCCTTTGTTCTTTTTCTCTCTCTCTTTAATATTGAAATCTGCTCCCTTAGAGCTTTTACTAATTATTTCTAATTGTGTCTTCTGCAGTTTAAAGGAATGTTTACTTCTCCCAAAACAACCCTTCAGTATTTGAAAGGTGTTATCAGGTCTTCTAAAAATCTAGCATTCCCAATTCTTCGATAATTTCTGACACGACAATTACTAACTTCCTCTATTCTTGTCAACTTTCAAATTCTCTGTAATAAAAACAGTAGAATGTTGACAACTGTTAAAAATGGGTTATGAGTACATGGGGTTCATTTTACTATCCTGTCTACTTGTGTCTATGTTTGCAATTTTCCATAATCACAAGATTTTTTTCAGTACCTACTTTGAAAAAGAAATCAGTCAGTGTACAAACCTTCGAAAGCTCCCCCTCTTAATCTATGATCTCATCCTTATTTATTTTTCCAGTCCCATCTTCCACTCTACCCCTATTGTCCAACTATACCTTGCTATTTTTTGTTTCTCTTTCATTGTATAAACTTCCTGTGCCTCTGCGGTTCAATAGATACTGTTTTCTGAATCTTCATCCATCTAATAAAATCCCACCTTTCTGCAAAGCTGGGTTTAAATACTACTTCTGTCAAGGCTGCACACCTCTAGCCAAAAACAAACAAACAAACAACTAAACAATTAGAAGGCTATAAATGCTTACCAAAGTCAGTAAAACAACTTCTTGAGGGGTTGGCTTACCCAAGGTTACAGAGCTCCTGAGAGGTAGAGCTGTGACTAGAATCCACTTCTCCTTAGTCGTAATCTAATCACCTTTCCACTTCCATGCAATCCTTTATGGTAACATAAACGAGTAGTAGGATTAAGAAAAGGCTTTTTATCATCGCCCTAGTACTCATTTCACCAACGGACCACAGTGTTTGCTGCTTACACATTAAAAGCAAATCACAGCATTCTTTCTCCCCCCACTAGCTACGTGGACGGAAAAGATGGAATCAAGCAAAAAGTAAAGATACTATGCGAAGGGTAAATACGAGATTCCACCATTCCATAGTGGGATCTTTCCACCCGAGAAGTAATAATCAGAGAACGCTTCGCCACAGAGAAATAGCGATTCATACATGCATCATGCAGTCAACATTCTTTGTACCCATCGCCGGACACAGTCCCTGGCCGCAAGAAGCTCCCTAGCGGAACTAGTAACTTTTCTGCAGCGATATCTTTAACACTGTATTCAGATCTCTTGAGAGAAGCTTCGGTAACCATGTTTTCCAAGCCAGGCTCACAGACCCGCAACCCAGAGGTCTCGGCTCCGCTCCACCACTTCCAAAGCCGGAAACCCCCAATTCTCAATAGATCAGACCCTCTCTCACGGATGGCCGCTGGGACACTCACCGAGCAACTAAAAGCCGTACACTCAACGAGCAACTAAGAACGATACCGGAGAGTCTTTCCCTCCTTCCGTACCTCCCCTCCCGCGTTTACGTCATCCAGAAGCGACGGGGACTCAGGGACACCGCTATTAACGGCACTTCCTTGTCACGTGACGGGTTACGCCCCCTGCTTGCGCGTGGTCCCTCCCCCTCCGGCCGCGGTCGCAATTACGCTCTCTGCGGCCTGCAGTCAGCGGGCTGCTGCTGGCCGAAGACACAGCGCCGTCGGAGACCCGAGGAGCGTTAGGCCAAAGGGGTGAGCCAGCCAGGATCCTGGGACCCTTCACAGCTTGAGGCCGGCGAAAGGAAATGAAACAGGCGGGAACCGGCGGGGGAGGGAGGGAACTAGCGGAAGGTGTCATGGCGGCCGCGCTCTGGGTCACGTGCCCGGCAGGCCCGCCTTGGTACTTCCGGTCACGTGCCCTCAGAGTCCTCGCAGCCAGCGATGGAGGCGAGACCCCCCAGTAACAGAGGCGGTGGCGACGGTGGTGGCTACTGGGTTTCAGCCTCTTCCCGGCAGCGTCTCTAAGAAGCGCAGCGGAACTCGACCCGACCCAGGCCAGTTACTCCCTGCCCAGGGCCGTAGCTCTCACTTGGTAAGTTTAGACCGAAGAATGGGGGCGGGTGGGAGGGTGGGTAAGGAGCTGACAGGCCTGGGGGCCGCTGGACGGCGCGGATCTGCCCCTTTTCCCAGTGTCCCTGTTGCCGTCGCCACAGCTCCTACGCCTGCCATCTCGGTAGCCTTTTATTGTCCTGAAGCGAGGAATAGGCGACCCCTAATCTGCTGGCCTATAGGAAGTCTGCCCCTTTACTAAGAGCAGGGACTCGAAAATTTCCCCAAAGCAAGGGTTAGACTTAGCTTTTGAGAATGAAGGACGTGGAGGCCTCTGAGTGACGGAGGAGCCCTTCCCGTTAGGAAATGTGCTCTTAAGTCTTTCGGTTTCTGTAGGAGAACACCTTTCACTGTAGTGTCCACACATCTTTTGCTTGACCTGTCAATTCTACGGCTTTGTAAAAGCTTCCTAACACATGTGCCAATCCACACCCCCGGCTTTGGTCCTTGCCCAATTTGATTGTCTTGTAATAATGAAAAATAGACCACTAACCTATGGAAATATGTAATTATTTTATAAAGCCCCCAGTGTTCTAAGACTAAGTCGACTAAGGCAGTGTGTTCCATTGATTCTTAAACACTCATTTTGGGGTCTGTATGGTTGCGGAGAGGGAAAAGATCCAGAAACTTAATCGTTAGTCCATTAGAAGACAATGTGAAAAACATACGAAAACTAAGTGGTTTGAAATGCACACTGTAGTAAGTATTAACTCCATAAAGGAGTGGAACAATTTCTCCCCACTAATTCTTACTGGGAACTCCGTTATACAAAACAGCATGCTCTGATGGAATTGAATTTGGGAGTGCCTAGCCCCACCCAGTCGGCCTCCCCTGTTGGAACACAGTTTGAACACCACTGAACTGGGCTTTGGTAAATAAGCCAAAATTGCCAATCCTAACATAGCTTTTTAAAGTCAAAAGTAGAACAAAGGAGATGGAGAAGTCACGACACAAAAGAAGATAACCTCTAGTATCAGGCCTATGGCTTGCAGAAGGAATGGACTCTGGAGAGAACTTTGTACCTTTTAGCAGACCTAAATCCCTCATTTGGGAAGGAGGGAGAGATAATTTGGGGCTATTAAACCTGTCCTTTACCCTCACTCAGCTGACATTTAACAGCAGATTGAAAGTTTGAGTTTCTCCTAGGTGATATTAAATATATATGGTAGTGCAACTGTAAAAAGATTATTCATGCAAATGCAGAGAGGGCTCTTTAAAAATACTAGGAAGATTGGTGCAGAGAGGAATCGGTTTAATAAACCAAATGATCAGCTTCCTGCACATACTGCCCTCGAGGCATATATCTTCTCCCTGCTGGTTAATCTTTCCACCTTTTAGCCTTACTTTTCTGTGCTGCTAGGTTTTTCCCCTACCATTGAGCTTTCCTAGCATTTTGACCAGTGTTTCTACCTCGTGGATACTGCTGGAGGAGGTCCTCTTTTCTCTCTTAGCTTGCCTTTAGTGTGGCAGTATCTGGCGTCCAGCTAATAACTAGTAAGTCCCTCCCTTCCCCACTTTGATTACAGACTGATTGCTCTTCTCTTGATTTGGAAATTATACTCTTGTCAGCATGCAGTATTTATTAGTGAATATGAGCATACATTTCGTTCTGTCTTGTGTCTGTCGCATTTTCCTCCTTCTGCCTCTCCCTGCACTGCTGTAAAAATGAAAAAGTGCTTGGTCTTAAAATTGCTACATCAGTTACTCCCCTTAATAGCTTCATTGTGTGTGTAACTTTCATTGAAATGGTAAATTTTGGTCACTTTTTACATACTTCCAAGGTCCTGTTCTCTGTAATGCTGGATTGTTAAAATTTTTTTGGATTGCCTCACAGCAAGCAGCATTCCAGATCTCCATTTTGTATCCTGGCAGATACAGCAGCTCTCTCTAATAATCCTCCTTTTAGAGGGTGATGTGGAGTTTATAGTTCACTTGTTGTCCTTATTTCTGCCCCATTTATCTGTGCATATTAGAAGAGAAATGCAATTTAAAGATTTCTGTTGAATAGTTTGAAATTTTTCCTATCCCTGTTTCCTTAAAACCCAGTTATTGGAATCCCTGAGGAATGATACTGTGATCTTTGAGTAGAGAGCTATAATGCTTCCTGGAGTTTAGCCAAGGATATATGTACGAAGGTGTCTTATGTATCTTACCAGGATGGTGTTCTTTTAACACCAAATATCTTAAATAGATAATCACAGATGTTTATTGGACTCTTCCTATGGGCCAAATATGCAGCTGGGTGCTGTATTGCAGTGAATACAATACATGCATCCTCTTCCCTTTATGAAGCTTGCAGTCTGTCAGGGGAGACAGACATTCAAAGAAGTACTTTAAAAATTAATTATAGTTGTGGTAAGTGCTATCAAGAAAAAAATGGAAGGTCTTGCCTAGTAACTTTGAAACTTAGAGTAGACAAAAAAATGAGTAAAAGCCAGGTGATAGGAAAGGAGGAGGAGAATGTGCAAAGGCTCAGAGCAAAGCATGTACATTTACCTTCAGGCACATATTTAACTGCAAATGAATTAATGTCTTTACTGGAGGATCTTGGTATTTAAAGAAGTGGCAGATGATTTCATAATGTAAATCTTTTAAGTAAAGCTAGATCTTCATCGGGTCAATTTGTTTAAATGGAACTAACTGATATTTTTCATGAACAAATATTCTGTGGCTCTTCTAGAATTCTACTGGGAAGAAGAATTTTTTTGCCACCCAAGGAGCCATCTTCAAGAAACATCTGAAAACCATGTAGTGCTTTGTAGGATAGCCCCACTGATTCTGTTAAACTTTCTAAAACTGGTCCTCGTACAATTAACAGAGGTGCTATGGATGAACAAGGAAATTTGCCAAGCAAGTTAGCTATGAGACCACTGACTAGTCATTCCAATGTTCAGTTACTTACCCCTGACTTATTTTCAGTGTTCTCCCAAGTGGCTTTTTCTCTCCATCTAACTTCCTCTCTGTTTTACAGTTTCTCTGTCTTCACTCATCTTTTCTTTCTTACCTTCCTATCTTAGAAGTTTTTTTTCTGTTCTTTTCCGAAGCTTATACTTTACTTGTGCTTATAAGCCCAGTTAATTGGAAACTCCTTCAGTGCTTTTCCTCCGTATATGGACATACTTAAAATTGTTTTGTAATTATCTGCTTTCTCTGTGTCGACAAAACTTCCCCGCCTATCTTTCAGATTTTAATTCACGTTTCCTAAAATGTGGTTCATATAATATGCAGTATAATTTCAAGTAATACAGATGGTTTTTTTAAGTTACTAAAATGTTTATTATAATGAATATCAAAATTAATATTAAGGTATTAAATAGTTCCATACATATATGAAATTTCTTTTGTACATTAAATTTTTAAAGTGAATAAAAATAAATTCATATACACTTATTACAGAAATTGAAAATAACAATTGTTTTCTTACCCACACTAATACCTGCAACACTTTCCTGTGTTACCTTATAAGCCTGTGGTTTGATAGGGAACAAACTCTTGGAAAGACTTTTTAAATAACTACTTTTTGGGGCAACTGGGTGGCTCAGTCACTTAAGCATCTGACTCTTGATTTCGACTCAGGTCATGATCTCACCGTTCAAGAGTCCAAGCCCCAGTTGGAGAGTTTAAGCCCCATGTCAGGCTCTGTGCCACCAGCACAAAGCCTGCTTGGGATTCTCTCTGTCTCTCTTTCTTTCTCTCTCTGCCCCTCCCCCACATGCACATGGGCATGCTCTCTCTCTCTCTCAAAATAAATATTTTTTAAAATGCTACTCTTCTCATTACAAAATATAGATAATCCAGAAAACAAAAAGAACATTTAAGTCATCGGTAATCCTATCACCCATCAGTAACCACTGTGAAGTTGGGTGTATATTCCTCCAAGTCATATGTATTTGCAGAATAGCATGGTGGAAGTCCAAGGTCAGACTGACCCACATTGAAACCTAGCTACTTCCTTGATGCTTTGGGAAAGCGTCTTGATTTTTTTTTTTAGACCCAGTTTCCTTTATCTGCAGAGTGGGACTAATAACCTACCTCAGGATTGTTAACTGGGGCTGAATGAGTTAATACCTATAAAGAAATTAGCCCAGTGCCTGGCACATACTAGGCATTGAGTATTTTTTTTTTTTATGTTTATTTATTTTTGAGACAGAGACAGAGCATGAACGGGGAAGGGTCAGTGAGAGAAGGAGACACAGAATCCGAAGCAGGCTCCAGGCTCTGAGCTGTCAGCACAGAGCCTGATGCAGGGCTCGAACTCACGGACCGTGAGATCGTGACCTGAGCCGAAGTCGGAGGCTCAACCGACTGAGCCAGCCAGGCGCCCTTTTTTTTTTTTAAACGTAAGCTCTACACCCAGCGTGGGGCTTGAGCTCACAACTCTGAGATCGAGAGTTGCATGCTTTACCAACTGAGCCAGTCAGGCTCGCCACGTTGAGTACATTTTATTTATGTTTTAAAAATTTTTAATGATTGATTTATTTTTGAGAGACAGCGTGAACGGGGGAGAGACAGAGAGAGAGGGAGACAGAATCCAAAGCAGGCTTCAGGCTCTGAGCTGTCAGCACAGAGCCTGACACAGGGCTAAATCCCACAAACCATGAGATCATGACCTGAGCCGAAGTCAGACGCTTAACCGACCAAGCCACCCTAGGCGCCTCTTGAGTACATTTTAGATATTTTTTTTTAATTTAAGAATATAGAATCAAACTACAAGCTTTTTTTTCTTTGATCACCTGACAGTGTATCTTTTCATATCATTAAATAGTGTTTTGAAACAGTGGTTTTTAAACTTTTTAAGCAGCAGTAACCCTCTAAAGAAAATCTTAGGAGGATATTAAATAAGTGTATCATTTAAAAGATGGCATTGTGTATATGTTAAGAATTTTAACCTTTATCATATATGTTTTATAGATATCCAAACTGGAGATTATAAAACAACATAAGGAAGTGTTTTCAGTGGCAAGTGAAAAACAAGTTAATTAATCTCCACCTGCATGACTCAACAGCACCTCACACTTCATTTCCAGAACTGAATTCCTTGTCTTCACTTTCAAACCTGTTCCAGTGTGCTCATGTCAGTAGGGCTTAGGAGTGGGGTGTGAGCAAGCAGCTGTGACACCTCCTTCAGCACTCGCCTTTTTATCCTGCTTCCTCAGTATTCCTCCTCATTCCCTCCTCTCCATTCTTGCTGCCACCAGCCCGGTTCAGACCCTACTAGTCCTTTTCTTAAGTCTCTCTCATACTGTCTACAGATTCATTTCCTAAAATAGAAATTGTTGCCCTATTCAAAAGTCCTTAGAGGTTTTTTCTTGTCTACCACATAGGGTGGCATTCTGCACTGTCTCCGTCTTAACCACCGAACTCCACAGCCCACTGATCTTTATCATGAACTTTATACTACATCCAGCGCAAACTACTTACCATTCCCAGAGTCTCAAGCCTTTGCCCCAAAGCATTCCCTTTGCCTGTGATGCCTATTTCCCTTTCTCTGTCAAAATCCTCATTCAAGACCCAATTCATAACTAACGTATTAAGTGTAAAAAAAAACCACATTACTGATATATGTAATAATATGGTGAATTTCGAGAAACAGATTAGGCGGAAAGCCAGAGACAGAATACATAGTACGTGATTCCATTTCTGTGAAAACCCAGAAGACACAGAAGCTCATCTGTGGTGATAGAAATCAGAAAATAGTTGCTGGAGGGGGAGAGGAAGAGAGTTGAATGGAAAGGAACATGAGGGAATTTTGGGGAGTGGTGGAAATGTTCTCTTATTTCAAGTAACGGTGCATGGGTGTATTCAATTGTCAAAATACATCAAACAGACCACCTAAGATGTATGTATTTTGGTGATAATTATACCCCAATTTTTTTTATTTGCACTAAAAAATCTATTATAAAAGAAGTATCCTCTGTGAAGAAATGGCCTCTGAGTCCTAATTCAGAACATTTTTTTATCTCCCTTTTGTTCTTATTTGTATACACTGACACACAAATAATCTTGCTAACTGGAACATCTTTGAAAGCAGAAATCATTATTGTCAGACATTCATCTTTGATAACCCTAGACTTGTTGGCTCAGCACACATTTATTGAATAAATGTGTTCACATTGACCATTTTTCTTTCCATTCCTGGGGTAGAGTAGCCTGTAAGGGTACCTATGAAAGGGAATATTTGACTACTCAAAATTGAGGAAATCAACTTCAGAGAAATTAAGATTTTGCTTTTTTTTTAATTTGTATTTTTTATTTCTTTTAATTTTTTTTTCAACGTTTATTTATTTTTGGGACAGAGAGAGACAGAGCATGAATGGGGGAGGGGCAGAGAGAGAGGGAGACACAGAATTGGAAACAGGCTCCAGGCTCTGAACCATCAGCCCAGAGCCTGACGCGGGGCTCGAACTCACGGACCGCGAGATCGTGACCTGGCTGAAGTTGGACGCTTAACCGACTGCGCCACCCAGGTGCCCCTGTATTTTTTATTTCTAAATTCCTGCTTGAATGACTTTTTTGATTGTAGCTACACTTGTGGTGAGCATAAAATAACATATAGACTCATCAAATTACTATGTTATACACATGAAACTAATGTAACATGTCAACGCCAGTTAACACGGGGTTCAATATCACAAATGGCAAGATCATGACCTGAGTTGAAATCAAGAGCCAGATGCTTAACTGACTAAGCCACCCAGGCACCCCTGTTTTCCATTATTTTTAATGCCTGCCATTCTTCTGATGCTTACTTTCCCACTTAATCCAAATAGAAGTGTTACTCAATTCCACTCCTGAAATCATTATTGCACTATATGCTAATTAACTCGGATGTAAATTTAAAACAATTAAAAAAAAACATTCCTCAATTATTTTGAATAACTAATGGCAGATCCAGTATTTCATTGTTCCCATTTGTTTTAACCTCCAGGAAAAATGTTTCAATAAGACTTCACTTGGGGCGCCTGGGTGGCTGAGTCGGTTAAGCCGCCGACTTCGGCTCAGGTCATGATCTCGCAGTCCGTGAGTTCAAGCCCCGCGTCGGGCTCTGTGCTGACAGCTCAGAGCCTGGAGCCTGTTTCAGATTCTTTGTCTCCCTCTGTCTGACCCTCCCCCGTTCATGCTCTGTCTCTCTCTGTCTCAAAAATAAATAAACGTTTAAAAAAAAAAAAAGCCTGTTTTCTCAGGGCAAATTTAATTCTTAAAATATCTAGATATGCAAATTTCTCTAAAATTATATTTTAAACTATATCTGAAGAAGTTAATGTTTTAAAATTATACTTTGAATCATTTCTTTGGGAATAAAATCTTAGTCATAACTTCACCGGAAATGACCTATATGGGGTATTTGTGCTATCACTTTTTCCCATCTCATCCCATGGCAGACATCACCATCAATCATGGCTTCTTTCCTGTTAAGCCCTTATAGCTTCAAGTTCCCTTTTAGCCTCATATTCCAGGCAGCCACACTTAAGCCTCTAGGATTTCAGTTGAATATTTAAGATTCCCCAGAACTGGGGAGGAAGGAGGTGGAGGTAACTAAAGGCTGTTTCCTAGGTAATGAATTAGCCATGTACAAGTGAATCTTTGGCCAAGACCTGGAGAACAGTTGAAGACAATTTGATTGTTAAAAGGTGGGGGAAGTAGCATCTGAAGTGTTAATTTTTTTTAAGTAGAATTATTTTTTTAATGTTTATTTATTTATTTTGTTTTTAATGTTTTAAATTTTATTTAAATCCAAGTTAGTTAACATATAATACAATAACGATTTCAAGAATAGAATTTAGTGATTCATTACTTACTTATAACTCCCGTGCTCATCCCAAGAAGTGCCCTCCATAATGCCCATCACCTGTTTAGCCTGTCCACCCACCCAACACTCCTACAACATCCCTGTTTGTTCTCTGTATTCAAGAGTCTCTTATGGTTTGCCTCCCTCTCTATTTTTCCTTTCCTTTCTCTATGTTCATCTGTTTCTTAAATTCCATATATGATTCCATCATACATTTATTTTTCTCTGATTTCACTTGGCATAATTACACTCCAGTTCCATCCACATTGTTGCATGAGGTGTTAAGTATTAATGGTTTTCTTTTAAAGTACACAGGAAGAAACTTAGACCAGGAATCAGGAAATGTGGGTGTGGTTTCAGCTCTGAGAGTGGTTCTGGTAAGGTCACACAAACCCTGTGGCTCTTAGTTGTTTCAGTTGAAACAAAATTGAACTAAATATTCAGTAGAGTCATAATTCTAAAGTTCTACAATTTTAATGATTTTTTTTAACGTTTATTTATTTTTGGGACAAATAGAGACAGAGCATGAACAGGGAAGGGTCAGAAAGAGAGAGGGAGACACAGAATCTGAAACAGGCTCCAGGCTCTGAGCTGTCCGCACAGAGCCCGACGCGGGGCTCGAACTCACGGACCGCGAGATCATGACCTGAGCCGAAGTCGGCCACTTAACCGACTGAGCCACCCAGGCGCCCCTAAAGTTCTACAATTTTAAATGTAGGTTAAAGACAGCATATCTATAGTCAAATCATACATTTAAGATTTAAGAATATTACTAAGGAACTAAAGTAAATTGAAAATACTCTGATTAGAATATGTAGAAATGGTTTAAAAACTGCCAAGTGTCATAAACTGTTGTGTAAATTCAAACCTGTGATAATGAGCAAATTAAATTTTATTTTAAAGGATAATGCTATACAACTTTATCTTCAACTTTGAATCAGGGACTTTTTTCTTCCTTAGTATCAATTTAGGTTTAAATTTGGAAAGGACTCAAGGGCGCCTGGGTGGCTCAGTCAGTTAAGCGTCCGACTTCGGCTCAGGGCATGATCTCGCGGTTTGTGAATTCAAGCCCCACGTTGGGCTTTGTGCTGACAGCTCAGAGCCTGGAGCCTGCTTCAGATTCGGTGTCTCCCTCTCTCTCTGCCCCTCCCCTGCTCACGGTCTGTCTCTCTCTGTCTCACAATAATAAATAAATGTTAAAACCTTTTTTTTTTTTTTTAATTTGGAAAGGACTCCAAAAGTCAACAAATTTGATCCTAATTGAGATGGGAAATCTTTTGTCTCTCTTAGCACTTTCTAGGCATCATGGCAACTTCATCTGAAGAAGTTTTGCTAATTGTAAAGAAGGTGCGTCAAAAGAAGCAAGATGGAGCTTTATACCTCATGGCAGAAAGGATTGCTTGGGCACCTGAAGGCAAAGATAGATTTACAATCAGCCATATGTATGCAGATATTAAATGTAAGTCAGCTATACTAAGGCTTGATATAACATTTGCTAATAATTTTATAAGAAGATTGCTTATACGATCTTTGTGGATTTTTTTATTATAGTGTCCAAAAAACCAGCTGTATGGAAATAATGTTAAAGTGGGATCGCTGAACGTATGTTATTCTGTAACCCGCCTTTCCCACTTTATAATAATAAAAGTTTATATAGTTTTACACATGTGAATCTACATCATGTAAAAGTCTCCACACATCGCCACTTTTAAGAGTTGCATAATACTCCGCTGAATGGATATAGAATCATAATTTAATCAGTTTCCTTGAAGGACAGCTAGGAAGTTTTCAGAATTCTTTTTATTGCAAACAGTATTGCAGTATAGGTCTGTGTACTAATATCTTTGTGAGGTTGTATATGTGGGATACATCCCTGCAGTGGATTTACTGATTCAGATGGTTCATGCATTTAAAATGTTGGTTGATGCCAGATTGCCCTTTAACGAAATTGTATTGTTTAAGCAAGTTGTGTAGTTAATCTTTGGTTATGTGGCCATTGTCTGTTGAGAAGATAGACTCAATTTTTTATTGGCTATAGATAGGAGAAATACAGAGCACAGTATCCTTAACAAATTGTGGTATCTGAATTGTGACCTTAATATGGATTCATTTATTTTCTTGGATATAAAATTCTTCTTCAAGATAAAATCTTATGTAGATTTCAAGGAATGTGATACCTCAAAAAACAAGACACTCTTCACCTTGCAGGTGCTAGATTTGTAAATGTCCTTTGTGTGTGAACAGTTGCCCTAAGGACTTACCTCAACTTTGCTACTGGAAATGACCAAGATCTTCATCCATTTTCACTGAAATAATTTAGAATTTTTACTTTCAAAAGGAAATACTGTTTGAAATTCATCATAATTAAGTACTGCCTAAGCTGTCTGGTCTTTTGTCCGCTATTCTGGTAATATTACCTCCTTTTAAAACTTTGTTTCTGTGGAAAAGTGACTCACCAAGTTCCTCATAGTACTCTTACAAACTAACATTTGTACCAGAAGAGACTCATAAATTAGGAACTTCCTCTGTTAGCATTTCTCTTCAACAGGAAGTTGGTCCTGTAGCTCTGTAAAACATGCATTCATTGTGATACCCACAACATACAATAAAGAATATACCCTTCTTCTATTTCTTGACAATTCTGTTATTGGGAAGGAGAGCACATACTCAAATCTAGATCTGCACCAGATCAGTGTTCATTTTAAGTTGAATATTTGAAATAAAGCCCATTTCTGAAAGAAGCCATTGAAAATTATCAGTAATAAATTACTAAGGTGAAAATCAGCAGTTAGATTAGCTAATTACAAAACTTCAGAAATAGACCTCTTAGAGGCAAGAGCCAAGCTAGAGCAAGGCTACAGCAGTCACTGAGAAAAGATGCATGAAAAGGAGTGATGGTTTGTTTTGGAGAAATGGAAAGCCACAATAGGCTGGCTGACAGCCTACATTGCCCCGTATTGCTGCTTTTGGTAGTTAGATATTTCATCTAGACTGTTGGTCTGGAAGCAGTATCTTGATTGAAAAAGTTTGTTTAGGGATTAGTAGGTGGTTTGGACCATGAGCTTTAGGCAGCATGTTCACACTGTTATGAGTCTCCCATTTCATGAGACAGAACCCCTCCATCCCTCTCCCTCTGTGGAAGACAAGGACTACTGTTGCCATGAGGCCCACTCTTTAAGAGTACAAGTTGTCTATAATGTGGGTGTATTTTGAGGTTCCCAACATCTATTTATTATGAAAATTTTCAAAGTTACAGAAAAATTTTAAGAATGGTACAATGCATACTATACAATATATCTGACTTACATGTGCATACACTCTACTTTGTAATATTTCGCACTGATAAAATTTTAATAGTAAACATCCAGGACATTGTTACATCCCCAGTTGTCCCAGTAATGTTCTTTTGTAGTAATGATTTTTTTTAAACCCTATCCAGTCTGGGTTCACATATGTAGTTGTAGTACCTTCAGTACTACACTTTATAGACTTGTCAAATATCATACATTCTGATTATGTCTGCTTATCCTCTCAAGGTTTTTTGAAAATTATTTTCATGCATACTTGTGTTTCTTATAAACTGAAAAGTTTACAGGCTTGATTATACTCAAGTTAAACATTTGCAGCAAGAACAGCACATAGGTGGTGGCCTTTACTTACTATTCTATTCCCTGAGAAAGCCTGTAGTGTCAGGTTGTCCGACTCTGGATGAGATAAAGTTTGATCACTTGGTTAAAGTGATGACACCACATCTCTCAAATGTAAAATTATGTATTCTTCTTTGCAGTTAGTAAGACATGGGCTGTGATTTGGAGCTTTTTGAATTAGGACAAATCATTTTTATTTATGATAATGATGATTGGAGGTAGCTGTTCACGCTCAGGACTCCTAGTTGGCTATTTAGAGATTTTCCCCGGTTGAGTGGAAACAAAAGCCCTTTAATATCTGGCGATGGAAGCAGTGGGTGAGAAGTGCCACACAAAGAGGGTGCTGAAGAAGGAAGCAGAGTGTTAGCGGTGAATTTGTTAAACTATGCTCTGATTATATGGGATTATTTGAGAAGAGTTCATTTCTGCAAAAGCATTAAGATTGGAACAGGGCAGCTAAAGCCCAAAGGAATTCTGAATCTTCTTGGGAGGAGAAGTGGCGTATTGTAGGACGATTTCCACAGTGTGGGTGTCCTCATCTAATTTGTCTCATGTTTCTTTTTAGGCCAGAAAATTAGTCCAGAAGGAAAAGCTAAAATTCAACTTCAGCTGGTGTTGCATGCAGGGGACACAACTAACTTCCATTTTTCCAATGAAAGCACAGCTGTGAAAGAGCGAGATGCAGTGAAAGACCTTCTTCAGCAGCTGCTGCCCAAATTCAAGAGGAAAGCAAATAAAGAACTGGAAGAGAAAAACAGGTGAAGGAGAAAAAGAATAGCCTTTTGAAGGGACACTAGATTCTCTCCAGTCTCTTAGTAGAGTAATAGCTGTTATGTCTTAACCCTTGTGCTACATTAAATTAACTGCCTCAACTCTAATAATCGGGTGAGGAACAGAACTGAGATTCAGAGGTGCCAAGGTCCTTTAATTCCTTCTTCCAGTTCTCCGTCACAGAGAAGACACTGAACTATTAGGAATGTGTTTGTGAATGAGAAACCTGAAAAATCACGCTGTAAAAAAAGTTGAGAAAGCGTGTAAAGTAATGAGAATTTCTGATGAGGTGAATTACTCCATTGCCAGTATTTTCCAGGCCATCCATGCTTAAGTCTCCAAGTGCTTATCACCATGAAAAATTAGTGTCCAGAAAATCTCAAGCATACCTTTTCTCTTCCCCTTTCATCTTTATTTATAAAAGAGAATACAGTACAATACAAATACAGACACAGTGATCTTTGTATCACTGGGATATTGAGATGAATAACACCAATAACCCTCAGAGATTTTAGGCTTTGCTTCTAAAGACTTACTTCCATTTATCTTCATTTATTCCTCCAAAAGTTTTTTTTTTAGTTTGAATTATTAAGAGATGAACTAAATGACCTCTGCTGCTCCATCATCATAAAATTAAAGTTGTGGGTCTCACTGTTTTGTGTTGTTAAAGTCTTTTTTTTTTAAGTCTTTTTAAAGTGTTAACATAAATGGTGTTTTATTCTAGAAGTTCAATATATTCAATATATTCTATCACCAGAATGCTGCAAGAAGATCCTGTTTTGTTTCAGCTTTATAAAGACCTTGTTGTGAGTCAAGTGATCAGTGCTGAGGAATTCTGGGCCAACCGTTTAAATATAAATGCGACAGAGAGTTCTTCTACATCCAATCATAAGCAGGATGTTGGCATTTCTGCAGCATTTCTGGTATGTGACCCTTCTAGATTTCTGAAGGAAAAAAGAAAACTCTGATATATGTGTTAGCAATGCCATTTCTTTTGTAAAACTTAGCATTTCCTTAAAGCAAATCAATAGTTACTTTGGTATCCATGGTATTCTAAAGTATTTTAAAAATAGATGCAGTATTTTTTTAATGGATGCTTCTTGTGGCCCCTGGGTGGCTCAGTCGGTTAAGCGTCCGACTTTGGCTCAGCTCATGATCTCCCGGTTCAAGAGTTCCAGTCCTGTGTCAAGCTCTATGCTGACAGTTCAGAGCCTGGAGCCTGCTTTGCGTTCTGCATCTCCCTCCCTCTCTCTCTCTGCCCCTCTCCCACTCACACTCTGTCTCTCTCAAAAATGAATAAATGTTTGTTTGTTTGTTTGTTTT